AAGAATAACTTTGAATATTTGTCAATTCTTCCATACTAAAAACTGTCATATGTCAATTTTATTGTACAGTTAAATATTTACTGAATATTGACCTTTAGTTAGTTTGACAGAGAACTAATGTAACCTAAAAACTACTTACAACTTTTGTATATATTTTGCAATTTCTTTCTTATTATTTCACATCACTTTTGACCTAGTTTTCCAAATGAAAATGTCTACAATTATAATAATAGAACAGGAAACAATTTATAACTTGCTGACATATAGCTATTAAAAAAAGCGCGGGAGATAAACGATAAAATCAAGATGGCGGAAAAGCGTCTTTCCTCGGAAATTAATATCGTTTGTGAAATATTACGTTCAAGGTTTTAGGTGTTTGTTAATGACGTAAATAATGTGGTATATTTACATATTAGGCCAATATATAGAACTAGCTTGTGATAAGATACAAGAATTTTCGATAGCCAACCCAAGTTGATTTAATTAAACATCTATTTAGTTAACGTTTGATTTGAGAATTGAAATGTAAACAAATACGACTGTATACATAATATAATTACTTATCCTTATATTTCTAGGTGCAAAGAGGTATACAAACCGTTATGCTACTTACAATTACTATCAAAAAGGTCAGGTGCAGGAGATCAAGTTTTTAAAAACTACAAAGGTATAAAACCGCATTTTTCATACAACAATCTGTACAAAGTAAGCGATTAAACCTCAAAAAGGTACTTGGCAAACTTTAAAAATCAAAACAAAATCCAAAACAGACACTTCTGTACTTGTTTTTGGCAACAAAACAAAATTCAAATAGATAATTCCCAGATTTACGATAGGTAGCACCTCTACTATTTACTAGGTACTATAAATTATTCACGAGATACCTACCTACGACACAAAAGTTCATTGAACTTAAATTATTCAACATCAAAATATCTCTGACACGAAACTTTTGGAAGACAAACAGAATAATATCGGACTCACAAAGTTACGTCGTTTAAAATTCCACAGATAATCTACACGAACGATCAATTCTTCGAAACTTTTTTTATTTGAGTATACAAACTCTTTCTTTGGTCGTGATTGTGTTTGTGGAACACCAATATATGAGGTATTGTGTAATCATTACGTAATTCTAAAGATGGATATCGTGACTATAATGTAAATAGGTTTAAAAGAAAATTAAAGTCATATTATTGAGAAATGTCTTAACTTCTATATAAGTATAAGTTTCAACGCCTGTATGATATTTAATTATAGCATAACATCACGCCTTTTATCCCGAAGGGATAGGCAAAGGTGCACATTATGCCACTGTACAATGTAACACCCACTTTTCACTATTTACGTTATAAATCCCATGTAATAAGGGGGAGGCTATTGTCATATACTGGGCACAATTCCAGACTGCGTGCTACAACTGAGAATTTTTTTAATCCCAGTAATAATTTGCCCGACCTGAGAATCGAACCCGAGACAAGGGGTCTCGGCCCGGCTGTCACACTTGCGACCATTCAGCCAACGAGGAAGTATTTAATTATAAGTACATTTAAATGTAATGCCTAGTGACTCGACGCCACAGTCAAACCATTGCAAAGGTTTTGTGGGGCTCAGATTATAATTATAAGATACTTACCTGTGTGACCTGTGTGAGAAGCGCATTCTAAATCGTCGGTCAAAGAGACGTGCTGTAGGACATTTTGTGGCCGATATGATAAGGGTGATGAAAATATTTAACTGTTTTTCTACTTGATTGATTGTCAAGAAGCAAAAGATAGAGGTGAAAACATACCAGATACAATGTAACAATCACTTATGTGTATGTATCAGTTATGTTAAGAATTCCATAGTTACTAAAAGTCTACAGGGTGAGCCTATGCCTATGTTACGTCTAAGCACAATTCTAGACTTCATGCTATTATGGAAAAAAATCTCAAAAGACTAAAAAATAATCCACAATAAAACTTTGCCAGGCCCGAGAAATAGACGCAAAACCTTCATCCTCCGTCGTCAAGATAATCGGCAATCTCTATTTATACTCAAAATTCCTCTACAGCTGTGAAGGTATAGTAGAGAACCAAACACCTAAGTTACGAACAAACTTTTCTATTATAATATTAGTAGAGCTATTCATTAATTATTCAGCGTTGGCCCGCATTAATTCTTGTTTATATTATTCTTTGTTACTTCCAAGGTGTTGTACTACCCTTTCGGTTCATTTCGTATAGAAAAAGAGTCTATTTTTATGTACTAGATGATTGATACTTTGCCTATGTATCAATGTTTGACTACTTTGGCTAGGATGTAAGAAAAGATTTTCTTTCCTTGACTTTTTTTTAAGAGGGGAAAATCATCGAATGGCTTCTCCCGCCTGGGTGAGGCGGAAGGGAGTGTCAGACTCTTATTGACTAAAAACCACCCCGTTCCTTCTCTTGCACTTCGAGTCGGAGCCCCGGTAACCCGTTAGGTTCTCCGCGACTTCTTTCGTTGACTACTGTTTTAATGGCAGTAGGATCGCCCACCTACCTACATGGGACTCATACTCATACTCATGATAAGTGGGTCTTACCAATGCGCACTTCCTCCTACTATACAAGGACGTTAAAAAAAGCAGACATAATGTCACCTACAAATGATTGAAGCACCAAAATGTCAGTAGGTTATTTATGTGTGCGTGTGTAATGGGTTACCACGTTACCAGACTTAAGAAAATGACAGATGTCCTTCGTGTCAATATGTGTGGATTCTGCGTGTAAGTCTATAGTAGCCAGGTGCCACAGTCGTTGTTTCAAGAGATCATTGCCGGAATACTGAAATGTTACTCGATTTTAAGTTGTGCTTAAATATCGTGCCATCTCTGTCATTTCACAAAGAATTAGTGGTGACAGAACTATACTTAAACGTGACTGCCTGGTCCTGCCGGTCTGCCTGTCCTTGCTATTACATTACATTTACAAAGATTTAAAAGATATAACAATGTGTTTTGTATGCTTACAAATAAAATAACATATTCACAAATCACATTTATTTAATATCGTAAAAAAGTTAAAGTCAGAGCATATATTTCAATTAAACCATAATTTAGTCCTTTTGAAACGTCAAAAAATACAATAATCTAAGAAACCACCAAAATAGCAACCGAGTTTCTTAATCCCAAACGAAATTTAACCGCAAACAGCCTACTTTAGAGGGTAAATAATCCAAGGTAACCCAACCCTAAGGTCTGATAATAGAGTATAATTGTGGCAACACCTGGGATTATGCACGATTGACGCTTAATCTGATGTGGGATCATTTATACGAGGACGGGAATTACTCCCGATTTCTGCTTCGTCTTGTAGAGAGTGAGGTTAAGGGAGCAATGTCTTATGTTATTCGTTCGTACTAATTGTTATAAGACTTTAGTTCTTAATATAACATCATGCCTTTTATCCAGGTACCATTGCTCAGCTACTTTACGGCAATGAGACCTTGGCTTAGGCTCGTTATTTAATATAATATGAAACAAATAATAACTATTTAATATCGTAAGCCGTAATCATATACACGTGTCGTTAGCGGCAACTGCCCACTTGACCCTCATGAAACATTATTACCAAAGTTGTTGTTATGGTCGCATTATAACTCTACATATACGGGATATTATATTAAAAATGTTTACTAAATCTCTATTTAATGATAATATGAAAAGTAATAAAAAAATATTTAATGTAATGTTTACTAGTAGTAATTATAGTAAGACGTTTATTTTGAAGGTGAAATTAGAAAAAGTTGACATTGCGATATTCCTCGCGTCTACGGTCTAATAACTATTTTTTATGGGCCCCTATTGTGGCTTGAAACTACGCAATTGAATCTCATCGAACAGCCATAGGAGTAATTTGAATAATCTAACCAATTTTAACAGCAGTAAGTTTAAATTATAGATAGCTAACTTGATAGATGGCACTATAAAACACTTTACAAAGTTCCGTCACTCAAACTAAAGAATTCGCGGGCATTCGAATAAAATCAAGATAGACCCTTATCATCTAGATTTCTAGATTCTAGATCAAAATAGTGCTTAAAAAGATTCGGCAGATAAGTCTTAAACTAGTTTAACCCTACCCGTTGAGATTAATGTGCCAGCCGTCCAATTAAATGGATTCAAGTGACCTTAGACCGTAATGGCGATGAACTCAAAATGAATAAGTTCTCTCGAGTCATTTCATCGGGACATGATAAAGTGCTGTTTCTTTTAATTATAAAACTTTGCGAATGCGATGGTATTTCGTTTTGATTTTGTTTTTATTTTTGTTGAATTGTTTGGTATGGTTTGAACCAATTAGCTGTTTGTACAACTGTTGGTGACTATGAGAATGACTGCTTCATTTAATGTTTGTAGTCCATGTAGTGTAGCCAAGTCTTAGTGCAATTTATCGATAATTCATCAAAACTTTTCAGGGAACGAAATAAGATAAAAATAAAGAAGTGACGATATGCCGAGAGTATTTACCTACTCTTGAAGAATATCCGAGTTTATATGAAAAATCATTCACCCTTATGAGAATCATCAATGAAAATTATTGTTATATGAAATAGTTTTGTGCAATATTTGGAGCGGACGAATAACAACTCTATCAAGTCGAAAAAACTTTTTCGCCTGGTCAATGTCAAGGACAAATTGATGAAAAAGTGACGGACAACCTTTAGCAATTACTGATACCACAAAAAGATGAAATAGTTATGTATCGTAGAAAATGAAATATCAAAAACTGAATATCAAGAAATGTATAGATTTAAATTGCGTCAATGATTTATACTTATTAGTCATAGAGCACCTAGCTTCACCTAATTTCACTGACGGACTGACTGACAGACTATTATTTATTTTGTATTTGTTGACGTTTCAAAAGTACCAAACTATGGTTTAATTGAAATAAATGCTTTGACTTTGACTTTGACTTCATAGTGTCAACGCACCTTTTACTAAACGTTGATAAAATAGAAAATTCACTTACTTCATCTCCGCATCAGATTTTGCAAGCATCCAGACAACATGACCGGGGTCGCGGCGGGAACCAAGTGCCATCAGTTGTGATAGCTTGGCTCCTGGAGGCAAGGTGGGTCTGCGCGGCACCTGGCCCGTCCACGTCGAGATGGCCAGCATCTCCGGACACTCCTTTACCAGGTGCTTTTGAGTCGCCATGCACTTTCCTGATGCGTCCTGTGGGTATAAAAGGAAAGGTTGTACTAGTAAATAAATCTATATAAATAAAAATGAATTTCCGTTCGTTAAGCTCACTAATACTCGAGAACGGCTGAACCGAGTGGGCTAATTTTGGTCTTGAAATGTTTGTGGAAGTCCAGGGAAGATTTAAAAGGTGAGAAAAAGGTGGGATTTTTAGACGGTAGAAAGTTTGCCAGGTCAGTTTGTTAAATATATAAATTTAGGTTAGTTATGTAACTGTATTATAGTTTTAACACCTTCTCTTTCCGTGTGTCTCACAAGAGTTGACCGAAGGAGAGATCGGGCATCTGTGCTCTCTGATAGACCTGTACCTTTTAAATTACCATGTTCAACCCAGCTGACAAGTGAGGCGATTATGGGAAACCCTCTTATGTAGAAAACGCCTGTAGTAGCCTGTTCCCGACCATTTTTGTTTCCCCCGTATGTTTACATACGATAATGTAGAAAACTAAAAACAAATCATTTTCAAAACACAGTAACAAACGAACTAGTATTCATAATACTGTGAGACGATTCGAGAATGGATGTGTGTGCTCCTTTGTGGTGAAGGAATACCGGCGTGCGGCCTGTGGCGACCCTTTAATTACTGGCCACACCTGTGGTTACCGCCTCGTCTACTGCCAAATTTATTAGTTTCCTATGCTAATGAGAATTCTGGTGTTATTCTCGACATGTCTTCTAGAACTATGTAGTTCTAAGCTTAAATAGAATGGGGCATTTCATCTGTCAGTTTTGTTATGATCTCTGTCATATATGTAGGTTTTTATTCATGTCTTACGTACAGTCAAAGGTCAAAAGTCCACTGCCACTGTAAGTGGTGTTCACACGCCAATGCGTAAGTAATTTCATATTAATGTGCATAAAAACGCACGCCTATGCACACGGATATATAAATCTGCGTGTGTAAGTGTGCATAAGCGCTGCAACGCAACCGATAGTAGTCTTACGGTGGCAGTGGACATTTGACCTTTGACCGTCTATACAAAACCCATGGGAAGAGCAAGGTGTATTTTTCGGTTAACGAATGTTTAATCTTATTCATATTGTGGGTCTATTATGTAAGGCGAATTAATGAGTTAATACCTATTGAATATGAAAAGCGACATAGATAATGGAATATTCCTTTTTGATACTATGTAGTATAAATCCCAATCAATCAGTAGCGATAACAAATCTGTGACAATTAATTACTTATTGTTTCAGCCGTGGCAAGTATTCCATTATTGTTTTTGTCAATACAGCGTTGTTTTTCTACGTCGAAATGCAATTCAAATGTAATTGTTTTGATACATTCATTTATTATTAGGGTATTAGTCGAAATATCTGATTTGTATAGACCTCGATTGTTTTGTTATTTAATTAAATATTAATGGCCAAAATGGACCCACATGATTTTAAAATCGTACACTTGCGAAACTATATGAATTTAAATAACAAGTTTGAAAAAGGATTATATAAAAATTATTGATTTTTTAATTCAAAGTTATAAATAAATTAAATCTACCTTAAAAATTATTATTATACAGTTTGCGAACGCATCGTGTGTCTATGATTGCATTCCTATCTACACACCTAATTAATTATTAAATAAATTAATTGAACTGAATACATTCATTGTATTGAACTTAATATTTTAATAATTTACCCCAAAGGTTTTAAAGTAATTGCCGAAAAAATCACCGAAAGCCAAAGAAGTCTAGAGCCAAATATAGATAAAACGAACAGGAAAATTACGAACACGATGTCAAACATAGAAAAACCTTAAATCAATCAAGCGGAACAAATATATCAATGAACGAGGAACATTCAATTCCAACAATAAAAGTCTAGTCGATCAATCGGCGGGCACCGATCTATCTATCAAGTAGAAGTCCACCTTATAATTCACACTTCAACGTCCATTTCCCAAACACAAAAACGCCTCGAAAACCATCGATCAGCGTTCGTAAATTGTCGGGTATTTTCGTAAATTTCCACACAATGTTACATGAGTCCATGACTCCATTTTGATGGAGGTCTGTGAACAATGTACGAATTATAAAGGACTATCGGTATACGTGTCAACTGTCGCACGTGTTGAATTCGAAATTAGCTCGCGAACGGCCAGAGAATCGGTTTAATTTTGAATAGACAACCGTTCCTTGATTAAACGTTAGCATTCGGCGCGAAATATTAATGGCGCCTGTTTTGATCACAAGAGACGTTTTATTAGGTGGCGGGAATTAATGGCTTTTGAATTGAAAATGGAATTCGTTAGTCGAACAAGAGAAGTTTAATGTTTTAGTCCTTTTTTTCTTGCGATCAACTTTTGATGACTTGTTAGAATTTTTTAAATTTATAACGTTTCAAACAAAGGTTTTCAAGTGAAATATTTTAGAATTACTTAGAACAGCAACAACGGAGTCTTTTGTTCATTGTTTTACGTTTTTTTAATCTGTTAATCTTTTCAACTCTTATACTCACAGATTATACAAGTAAGCACCTGAATAGGTCGCTTATTCAGCCAAGTAAACGTCAGAAATTGTAGAATCTTCGTGCGTCATAGACTATTCACTACGTTACGCTTGACCTTTCAAACCCCACACTCCAGAAGGAAACGGCAGTCAACACAACATAACTAGAGGTACTAGGCGCACATAACACAGGTAGTCTCATTCCTAAACGAAGCGATAAGAGAGATTCGAATTTATAAATGAAGTGTTCTTATTTCGAATACAGCTGCATACCTAAATATAAAATTAGAAGCAGAAATGTTTCTTTTTGTTCGATTTTTAACACATTGGCTGCTATGGGTACATACGGACCACCCAAGTGTAGGATACTATGCCCTCAACAGTTTTTTGTCAAATGTAAAACAGAGAAAGAAAATGAAAATAAAAATGTTTTCGACGAATCAAGAAACTCTTTTGTAAATTTTGATAGAACACTAAAATCAAGACAAAACATAATTATATATACAAGAAATTCTTAGAAACATATCATTTATCCGTAGTACCTACTTATACCTACGGACATCAGCAAATGGTCTATAGATCAAAAGTCTAGAAATCATTACGGTAAACGAGCATTCAGGTACTAGGGACCCAGAACTTAATGTGGATGATTTGAAATGGAACTTAGACATCAAAGATCAATCAATTTAGGTAGCCTTTATATTAGCCAAAGATCTCCACGTAGGTACCTACGTACCTGAAAGTACATGTTCATTGAACAAACCAATGTATTGGAGAGGTCTGCAAACAAAGATCGTGTGGTTTCGGAAACGTTCGGCTCTCTTCGGAAATTGAATCGCTTGTTTTTGAATAGCGAAGCGAGTTCTTCTATGGGATTGAATGAAAGAATGAAATGATGATTCGTTGAATTGGTGTAATTATTTTATTTTTGGGTTTTTTAAGTCCTAATTAGGTGTAAATATAGGTATTTACACCAGTATTAGGATACTGGAGCGAGCTATTCACAATTTAGGTCTATTGTCTACAGCGCAATATTTGACGAATGCATGCAACCTTAGGCGGATTTGTATGCGGAGTGACGTAACGTTGCCGCTTCGTGAACAGATTCATTGTTTCTATTAGTAAGTTGCAAGCATTCACCATTTGTAGTCTGCATATAATTGGGATGATGACAGGGTATGAAAATTAAAAATCTAGTTAGTCCGTAAGTTAGGTAGGTAATTAAAAAATATTAGACATGTATTTTTTATTTTGTCATATAACAAAACAATACTTAGATAAAACGAATCAAAGTTTAGGAGTGGGAGCTAAAACGTCATTTCTATGTATAAATGTACATAGAAGTGACGTCACGCGACATTTCAAATCTATATATCGTCGAAAGTATTCGTTTTCTGTAAGAAAATAAAAAATACGTGTCTAATGTTTTAAAATATTCTACCAGACCGACATTAAAATAAAAATTAGGCATCTACCCTATTAAATAAATTATTATGTTTTCGGCTTAATGACGTGATAATTTGATGAGGAACTCGACTAGTTTCAAGCCATGCTAGAGGCTCATATCCATGAGCAGCATTTTGCGACCCGCGACGCGGCGACTGTCGCGCTACTACTGGCTACTCGAGTCTGCGGGCCCAGCGAAACTAGTCGAGTTCGTCGTCAAATTATTACGTCAGTAAGCCGAAAACACTTTATTTAGTATGTCTCACGAAAGTTACAATACAAATCTACCCTATTTTCATAATTAGTTTGCATGCATTCGTCAAAATATGATGCGTCGGCGTCGTAGACAGGTTACTGCTTATTATTCTTGTGTAGGCAGGTACATACCTACTCAGTTTTAGTGAACTTTAACGGATGTTGATCGTTTGATCCATCAATTCTTTAACGCTTTCAATGTAATTATATTAAGGTTTTGTCTACATTACCTCTCTATAGAACCAGTAATGGCACGTGCAAGACCTCAAGCGTGATCATGTTAGTGTAGCACGAATTTGTACTTTGTGTTAATTGGGATAAGAACTAATTTTGTGTAGGTGAAAGTACACATGAAATGTCCCTTTATTGTTTTAAAAGTTATAGGTACTTAGGTAGATATTATTAGTTATGTTATATTTAAGAGATTTAGTTGCTATTAAATGTTGAAAACAATTGTAGACTCCGTGATACTAATGAAAATGAATAAATTGGAAGATTCGTGATTTATTATTCGCATTCTATGAACGTGCCCCGTTGGCCGAGTGGTCGCAAGTGCGACTGGGCAAGGGTCTCGGGTTCGATTCCCGGGCCGGACAAGTATTACATACTGAGTTTAAAAAAAAGTTTTGTAGTAGCACGGTGTCTGGAAATGTGCTCGGCATAAAATATGGCAATACGCTCACCCCCTATTACATGGGACGCATAACATTAAATAGAGAAAAGTGGGTGTTACATTATAGTGGCATTAACTGCAGTAATGTGCACCTCTGCCTACCTCTTCGAGGGTTAAAAGCGTGAAGTTTATGTTGTTCTATGAGCCCC